TGGTCACTAGAGCTGATAAATAGGCGAGTTGAATTGGTTATAAGTTGGTTTAATATAGATTGAGTGCAAAATAAATATAATTCATTTTCAACTTGTTAATAAACGAGTTATAATGAGTTAAATCATAATAAATTGGGTTAAACTCATTAACCCGTAAAATAATTAAAACTCTTAATACAAATACATACTAACACGCCAAAACACACACACTAATAAACCAAAAATATACACATATACTAACACACAAAAAACACAAACACATTTAATAAAAAACCAAAATACACACACATACAATATTCACCAAAATACACACACATAATGGGTTAGGTCAACCCATGTGTCATGGGTCAGTCCACGGGTTAGGTCATGGGGGNGGGTTTGATGGATTCATTTATTTAACACTCAAATGAAGTAAGATTAAATTCAAATTCAAGTAATTGGATCGTGCTTCTATTGCCTGTCTACTTATAATTATCCGCAAATAATAAGCATGGAATCCCAAAATTTGCCGCTAGCAATGACTATCTTTTATCATATCTAATAAACTGCATTGTGACAAGTTTTATTTTTAAATAGTTCATGTCAACCAACTAAACCTTGCTAAGTTGGTCACTAGAGCTGATAAATAGGCGAGTTGAATTGGTTATAAGTTGGTTTAATATAGATTGAGTGCAAAATAAATATAATTCATTTTCAACTTGTTAATAAACGAGTTATAATGAGTTAAATCATAATAAATTGGGTTAAACTCATTAACCCGTAAAATAATTAAAACTTTTAATACAAATACATACTAACACACTAAACACACACACACTAATAAACCAAAAACATACACGTATACTAACACACAAAAAACACAAACACATTTAATAAAAAACCAAAATACACACACATACAATATTCACCAAAATACACACACATAATGGGTTAGGTCAACCCATGTGTCATGGGTCAGTCCACGGGTTAGGTCATGGGGGTGGGTATATTAGTGTGTGCATGTATTTTTTGGTATATTAGTATATTTATTTAATTTTATTACTTGAGCTAAAGATAGATATTCAACCCAATTGATATCTATTTGTAATACATCTTAGTGAAAATTGGAGCTCAATTCTCCTTAAGGGACTTATAATGAGTTTAGTTCGTTAAAAAAATTTATTTAGGGATAAGTCTGTTTTTAATATTACTAATAAGTAGTTAAGTACACTATTTTTTTAAAACTTCAAAATACACTTCCTTAAAAGTAACTTTAAATTAGTTTCTTAATTTGGGAATTATTATCCCTTAATTCACTATCAATGAAGATATGTCAATAATTTTTTTTTCATAAATTTGAAATTCAAATTCAAACAACAACTGATACTCTATTTCTCTTTCTATATATATAAATTTTTTTACCATATTACTGTTTATGTTATTGTTTTTGTGAGCATGTTACTATTCATGTTACTGTTTTTATTTTCCCTAATATTAATACTCAATATTATTATTTTTTTGTTTTGAATATTATTATTTTTTTTGTGTTTAAATGTTACTGTTTTTGTTTTGTATTTAAATGATACTATTTTTTGTATTTGAATTATACGATATTACTTTTTTTTTTAATGTTACTATATGTGTGTGTGTATATATATATATATGTGAGAAAAATAAATAGTCATATTCTATATATGGATATAGATATAAGAGAAAGAATTTTAATGTTAATCAAACTCTTAAGATTGAGGAGTTGTTAGTTTTTAAAAATTTTGTAATTAAACATAACTATTATGGGTGTTTTGGACAATGAAAATCAAAATTGACTTAATATTAAATAAATTTTCTTGATAGATTTATGTCCAAATAAGTCCACAAAGAAGGATCAGTCTTCAAATTTTTCTACATCTTAACCCACTTAATTAAAATAAATCATATTATCCAACAAATTTAGAACTCGCATTAATTAATATAATTACTCAATCTATTTATTTATGAACGAATTTGACAAGTTAATGAATAATTAGTTAAAATTGTCACCTCTATTGATTACCTTTAATTTTTTCAAAATCCTTCTAACCAAGAATTCAAGAAGTTAATACTTAATAAAAACAAGACTCGACTTCTTATGTCTCCCTCGTTGGTTTCAGTTTCTCTTCACCCCCTCCGTAAGTGCTTTGTCCTCTGTAATAAATCTATTATTTGAAATATTTAATAGTTTAATAATAATTCGTATGAAAAAAGTTAAACTGATGTCGAATGGGCTACGTGGCACAGTTCCCACATTGTGCTCAAGGTCTTTGGGATGGACCATCTGAGTTTGGGACACGAAAAATGACAGATTGGTTGCAGCTGTATTGGCTCCAACTATACCGATTGCAACCCAAAATAGACCCTATTACCGTGGTGGACCCATTCAATAAATGACCATTCCCAAATTTCTACTTGTTCTATGGGAACAGATCATCAGCTGGACAGTAAAGGTATTCTTCCTCGAAACGAACACACAAAACGACGTTTTGAACATAGGATCCGGACTCTTGTTCTATTGATTTCTGAACATAGTAAGACACTGGACGAAGTTCTCCTCCATGAGTATTTAACAATGCTTGATTGAAAATCCCACCTACCTTCCCTTTGGATCAGTTATTTAGGAGCATCAAGTTTGCAGTCTCTGCATTATTTACTCCGAAAGCCCCATGGGCTTGCTTCTTTTAAGATTGTGTTGCATCTTGTATACATCTCCAAGCTACAGTGTATAGAGGTGTCAAACCCATGGCTTCATACCTTAGCTGATTGCCACAAAACCGTAAATAAGAGAAATAAGAGGACTACCTTCACCACCGATGCTTGACCTGCAGTAACTAGAACGCGCCAAAATCAGCAACTTTCCGGCAAATAGCAAGTTGAGTCATTCAATATCACAGCTGACAACAGATGATCAGTTATCACACAATTGAACATTCTGATATATAAATAGAGATAAAGAACTTATAGAGTGTACTGGTTTCTATTTGCTAAATTCTTCTCATCGTGAGGAGAACAAAGTGCATGGAGAATACAGTTCTCCAAAATCCACATACTGTTAAGCATATAGTCACAGTCACATAGATCCTAGTGGCTGGAGAATGTAAAATTAGGAGGAAATTACAAGAACAAAATATCTAGCACCATTTGGATCAGTTAACATGGATAAGAAATCTCCAATTTGAAAATGTTTTTCTTCCTTGCTCAAAGAATTACGGCTTTGCTCTTACTAATACACAGGAACAGGATGAATACACAACACTTCTATATCTGAATACAGTTTATTGTATAGATCAGAAAAGGAATTTAAAATAGAAAAACTCAATCAACACTCAGCTTCAATGATCTCTAGACTATTTTCCCTACGCATGATGTGGGTTTCTCATAAGGCCCTTCAATTTCAAATAGTAAGCTTGATTTTGAACTTTAGAATATATCGGACCCACAAAATAAAGGGTAATATGAAATTATAACTTTTTATTAGGATAAAATCATATATTTTTAACGGTTATATTAACATATATCAACGAAAAGAGGTTATGTGTTACACGTACACAAATGTCATGAGATGTAGAAGTAATATTCTAAATGTAAAGGGGTCCAAATGATTAAGTGACAAACATGAGGAAATCTAGGTATAATTTATCAAATTAATTTTAGGTGCACATTAATATAAATTTTTATTTTTGAGGGTGCAAATTGAGATTTTTTTATCTTTGGGGGTGNTAGGTTATGTGTTACACGTACACAAATGCCATGAGATGTAGAAGTAATATTCTAAATGTAAAGGGGTCCAAATGATTAAGTGACAAATATGAGGAAATCTAGGTATAATTTATCAAATTAGTTTTAGGTGCACATTAATATAAATTTTTATTTTTGAGGGTGCAAATTGAGATTTTTTTATCTTTGGGGGTGCACATTAATACAAATTTCTATCTTTGACGGTGCAAATTGAAAATTTTGATCTTTGGGGGTGCACATTGATACAAATTTTTATATTTGAGGATGTAAATTGAAATTTTTTATATTTGAGGGTCTAAATTAAAATTTAAACTATCTTTCGAGGTACAACTTGTAATTAACTCTACTTATTATTCACAAACTAAACAATCCCTTTTCCGATTAGTAGATTGATCAGNGGTGCAAATTGAAAATTTTGATCTTTGGGGGTGCACATTGATACAAATTTCTATATTTGAGGATGTAAATTAAAATTTTTTATATTTGAGGGTCTAAATTAAAATTTGAACTATCTTTCGAGGTACAACTTGTAATTAACTCTACTTATTATTCACAAACTAAACAATCCCTTTTCCGATTAGTAGATTGATCAGAAAAATAATCAGTGATTCATTGTTTGTATCCGACTCCCAATTCTGCGCATTAGCTTCATTTGTTTTCACCAATTCTTCAATATAGTGTTAAACAAGAATGACGAGCGGAACATCTCAGACCTCTTTCAATGTTTGTTTTTTTACTATGGAGCACANAAAATAATCAGTGATTCATTGTTTGTATCCGACTCCCAATTCTGCACATTAGCTTCATTTGTTTTCACCAATTCTTCAATATAGTGTTAAACAAGAATGACGAGCGGAACATCTCAGACCTCTTTCAATGTTTGTTTTTTACTATGGAGCACATATTTATAGACTTGATGGTGATGAGGGTATTCTGACGACAGCTAACGCCTCTGCCTACTCTCACCGGTCAAGACATTGAGTCCATGATCAAGCAAAAAATCACAAGCAATGTGCAATTCCTTATTCACCACTAAAGAGTAATAATNACTATGGAGCACATATTTATAGACTTGATGGTGATGAGGGTATTCTGACGACAGCTAACGGCTCTGCCTACTCTCACCGGTCAAGACATTGAGTCCATGACCAAGCAAAAAATCACAAGCAATGTGCAATTCCTTATTCACCACTAAAGAGTAATAATCACTAAACTAGTTTTCTCCAACTAAATAGTCAGACAGATGGCACAAATGTTTGACCAATGCAAAGCTATAAAAGGGGTTACAACATCAAATTTGAGAGCAGTCATTTTATACATTTTATGTCAAAATGTTATATTTGTAACCAGTCCAAATCAGAATTTACGAGAGATCAGTGCTAACCTAGGAACTGAGATCAATTGTCCTTCACATTGACCAAACCTTTTGCAATAACCACTTCCCCAAAAGTGACTTTTAATGCAACGATTCTACGTGACATCAAAGACCACAAGTGACGTAATCTTTACTTATTTTTTGTTAATTTTCTTTATGAAATTGTAATCTACAAGATTGGTCTCTAGCCTAAGAACATTTGTGTCAGCATCTTATAAGTGCCAAGCCAATAGCTGTGACTATGAGTGTGGAGGGAACTCCAAATTTGAGATGGCTCCAGAACGATAAATTGTAACCAACGGGTGCACGTCGAGCCTGCTCACACACAATTAAGTTGGCAGCTGATCCCAAAAGTGAGAGGTTGCCTGCTACAGTGCTAACCCAAGCTAAAATGAGCCATGCTTTCTTCTCACTAGCTGGAGATATTGAAGCTGCTGATGCTGCCACCCGTCCGCCAAGCAATAGAACTGAAATCAAGTGAATATGTTATATTTGTAGGCCGCCTGAAATCCGTGTGTATTAATGGTTCAGGAATGGTTGTTACAGTGTTATTACACGTTTGATAATAAAAACAATGTGTTCTTAAGAAGAAGTGCATCAGTCAAATGTTAGACAGTATTAACGGAATCAACACCTTCCAGTCACAATTTCAGAGTTATTTATGAAAGCAGGTTGTCAAGCTAGATGATAAAGTTTTGACAAAAAAAAAAACTCTTTGACCATTACAACAATATGTATGGACAATTTAAGAACCATTATAAGCAACAATTCCAAATATAACTCAAAGAAATCATCATGATTATGGACAGTAAATGGAACATAAGAACCACTGGAGTATTAATGTACATGCTTGATTTTCTATTAATCAATTGAATCCTCTTAACTTGTTAAACCACCATTTATCTAAAAGCTTTAGTTATTAGAAAAAATACAACATGGAATCATATAATTCAACACGCCCACTCCCGTGTGGGTGAGATTTTGGGCCAACCGCTTATGCAAGTCTTTTTATTTTAGTTGATGACGAGATTCAACTACGGGACATGTTGCTCTAATACTATGTTAAATCACCATATCATCTAAACACTTAAANCGCCCACTCCCGTGTGGGTGAGATTTTGGGCCAACCGCTTATGCAAGTCTTTTTATTTTAGTTGATGACGAGATTCAAATACGGGACATGTTGCTCTAATACTATGTTAAATCACCATATCATCTAAACACTTAAACTATCCAATCAAAATAAGGAGAATAGAATTTGCACCTATTTATTATTTGGCCCCTGAGCCACTAGACTATGACATAATCTACTTAAGTCAAACATTAACTTTTAAATAGGAGATAATCAAAAAGCTTTTCAAATCATATACAACTCAAATTGACAAACCACGTGGTGAAAAAATGGTAAGTCAAACATTAACTTTAAAACTTAAAACTGGCCTCAAATGTATCTAATCAAAATTATTTGTGTTCCAAAACTTCCCCAAGTTGGCTTTTAGTCAACTGGATTGATTTCCTCATTCATATGACTTGATGTAAAACTCTTTTTAGCTTTGAAATTTGAAATATGGAGAAAAATAATTGAAATTTGTTAATATAGCAAAATAATATTTTAAATGATAAATATTAGTAGGATTTTGAATAGTAAGCTACCCCAACCCACTTTGTTTTTTAATTATTTTGATTGTTGAAAATAAAATATTAAATAAAACTTCAACATGGAAGAAAAAGACCTCGAATTTAAGCTAAGATTTGATTGCTTGCCTCTTGGTTCTTTCAAATGAAAACCCTCACCTATTTATAGGTCTTTCATCTTATCATGAATGAATATGATATTGCTAAATACTATACATTTATGGTGTCTCTGAAATCTTCGCAAATATCTAGTATTTTAATGTGTATAAAAACTATTTTAGTTCTCTCTTATACTTCTCCTTATATTCCTGAATATTCTAGAATGTTGCTTAAAGAATGTTTAAATAAGAAAACTTTTTTATAATCCTCTATAATATTCCNAATACTATACATTTATGGTGTCTCTGAAATCTTCGCAAATATCTAGTCTTTTAATGTGTATAAAAACTATTTTAGTTCTCTCTTATACTTCTCCTTATATTCCTGAATATTCTAGAATGTTGCTTAAAGAATGTTTAAATAAGAAAACTTTTTTATAATCCTCTATAATATTCCTTCAAGGGATCTTAAGCTCAGATACTATCTCACCCCCAACAGATATTCCACATGTCCGTACCAAAAAGTTCGGTAACTCAATCTCTAAGCTAGAAATGCAGACTTCAACAAGATCAAATGCATAAAATTCTTCCAACCAATTAATGCACCAAGAAGAGTTACAAGACCCAACACAGTGAAAGTTACATAGAGCAATGAGTGCCTTTTTTTCAAATGCTAGTTGAATAGATATGCTTTCAGACACACTTTCCCTCCTCTCCTCTCCATCCTTCTTGATATCCCCTTAATCTCCTTACTTGCCCAAGCTAAAAAAATCTAAACATGCTTGAGCAGATGTAGGAGCAAAATGAAAAAAAGCAAAAGGGATAGCATCAAGTACCTGTAGGTACATTTGAAGCAAAATTTGAGAGGACAAGTATGACAACAGCAAGAACTGCTATCCCAGAAACATGATTGATCTTTGCATAAGACTCCACGAAGTCCCATAGAGTGCTTGGAATTCCTGTTTTGTTAAAGCCATCTACTGTGATAAACATTCCGCAAAAGAATACCAAGAGAGAATAGGATACCTGGATAAAGAAGGAAAACAGATACTTTGGCCTATTAGCAAACATTCATAAAATTTTAAGCGACTAGTTGAAAATAAACACTCTACATCAACACCAAAAGAAAGGATTGTGAATCACAGGGAGAAATTTTTGACCTTTTCTNTGAAAATAAACACTCTCCATCAACACCAAAAGAAAGGATTGTGAATCACAGGGAGAAATTTTTGACCTTTTCTAAGCATGGCCGGGCATCCTGAAAATCAAGAACCACAAGAGCAAGTGCAGCTGTAATTGCAGTCCATGACATATTCAGACCAATAAGAAATGAAATCAGCATACCAATAGTAACAAGATAAACACATGTTTTCCATAATATTCCTTTCCATTTCGTCGTTGAGATTTCCTTTTCCTCCAAAGATTTAGTAGAGATTGCATCCGACAATGCATTTACAGATGCCAATCTTTTTGAAGTAACTCCTTCATCTGTCCCTTCCTTTGATGCATTTGAGTTTCTTGTGGACTGCAATGCCCCACTAGAGACCCTGTCGATTTCATTCTCATTTGAACTCATACGGGTCCTTAGAGACTCCACATGACCTGTGTTATGATTGACCATTGGACAGCCCTGAATGTCCATAAATTCCAACGCAGAACTCATATCTTGAGAGTTCAAGGATGCATGTGACATTTTGGCTGGTGAAAAGCGATGTGAGATTACATCTTCCTCAGCAACCACTTCAGTAGCAGGATCTTCTTCATCCTTCTGAACAGATAACAACTTCCAATACATACATAGAAGAAGCAAAGCATTTACCAAAGTTCCCATGAGCATTGCAGGGAAAATCCCGAATAAGAACTTTTCAAAAGAGATCTTACTCTGAAGAGCTATGACCAGGTTTTGGGGGTTGCCAATTGGAGTGGCTGATGAACCAATATTTGCACTTGAGGCAAGTGCTAACAGGAATGGACGAGGTGGGAGATTCTGTTGCCTGGCAATTTTTAACACGAACTCGGTCAAAACAACACAAGAGGTATCATTGGTGAAAAAAGCACTGGAAATGGCAGAAATCAGACAGATTCGACAAAGTAAGTCCTTTGCCCCCTGGCTCTTCCATGAGAGCAATTTACCCAAATATTTGAACATATCTGCTCTTTCAAGATAGATACTAACAACCATTGTCCCAAAGAGAAGACCGAGGATCTGAAGATCAATAGCAGCATATGCTTGTTCAGGAGTTATGACTCTGAACATGACCATGAGCATAGCCCCAAGCAGGGATCCTGCAGTTCTTCCAATAGGCAGGAATGGGATAGTGGGGAAAACCGCCAACACCCAGAAGAAACCAAAGGCAATTGAACCAAGAACCACTTTCACCGTAGGAGCCATAGCCATCTTTCACCACTCAATAAAGCCTAAAACCCTTCTAACTCAATAAAGCCTAAGACTTCCAACTGTTTAAAACAATAGTAAACAGACTTCATTAGCGGTCCATGACAGTTTTACGTATACAAAACAACCACTAACATTTGACTAGATGTCAAAATCCAAAAGGGCATAATCTTTGAAACATTTTTTGTATTCCACATGGATAGTATGAAAACTAGAGATTGCCGAAGGAAATTTGTCAAATAAACATTAGTTAGGCATATGGAGTGCAAAAAACAACAGCACATCAAGTACTACAAGATCATAAAGTCATAGAACTCAGACCAATACTGACAATCAAGGAATGCAATTACCTCCACCATAGTCAAACTATTTCTTTTTTACTTGTTACAATCAATCACACTGAAATGCCCCAGAACTTGATGACGAAATGACTAAACAGAAAATGCTATTAAAACAGAGCAAGTCTAGAGCAGTATTGAGCAAAATCATGAACAACCCAGAAGACCATTATCAATAAATTTCTGTTATGCAATCAAAAAAAAAACTAAAGCAAGACATAGTAATCTCACCTAAAGCAGAAGATACTGTTTGGCGATACTCGAACGCTTTGACTCAAAAAAGTTTTGATAAAGAAAGTATCTTTTGCTATTTGTAAGTTCATATTCATAGTATATATTCTGAACATTGTTGTCGGCCATGAATGGGATGAGTAGGTTTACTGTTTACGAACAATTTTTTAAGAGAATTATCGCCTCTACAAATAAAAAAAAAAAAAGAGAGAGAATTACACCTAGACCTACAAGGTTTCTCATTTAATTATTAGATATCTTGATATTTAAAATATTATATATAGACCTCTTAAAGTTTATACACACGCAACACTTAGACCTTGTTATAAATATATCAATTAATAAATTACACTTAAACTCCCTTAAAATTTATGAGTATATATAATATTTAGACCCTTTAAATTTAAAATATTATACTTAGATAAAAAATATTCCAATTAAAAATAAAATTTCAAATTTTTAAAATTTTACAACCAAAATTTATGTTCTATTGTATCATTTATTGAAATAANGAGAGAATTACACCTAGACCTACAAGGTTTCTCATTTAATTACTAGATATCTTGATATTTAAAATATTATATATAGACCTCTTAAAGTTTATACACACGTAACACTTAGACCTTATTATAAACATATCAATTAATAAATTACACTTAAACTCCCTTAAAATTTATGAGTATATATAATACTTAGACCCTTTAAATTTAAAATATTATACTTAGATAAAAAATACTCCAATTAAAAATAAAATTTCAAATTTTTAAAATTTTACAACCAAAATTTATGTTCTATTGTATCATTTATTGAAATAAAATTAAAAATAAAAATTTAATTTTTTTTAAAAAAATCATAATTAGTATACAATTATATTATCTATTGAAATAAAACTAAAAAATAAAATAATGGGTTTAAGTTATTCAAAATAGAACATGAATTTTATATCCAAAATTCATATTCTATTATATCATTTAATAAAATAAAACAAAAAATAAAAATTTATTTAAAAAAAAAACATAGTTAGTATATATTTATACTCTCTATTAGAACAAAACTAAAAAATTAAACAAAGAATCAAACGGTAATGAATACAATATCTTTTAGATTAATTGGAGTAGTTTGATATTTTAATTTGGTAGTTTAAACAATTAAATTAAATTCTAATAGACAATATAATTGTATATTAATTATAATTTTTTAAGANACATAGTTAGTATATATTTATACTCTCTATTAGAACAAAACTAAAAAATTAAACAAAGAATCAAAAGGTAATGAATACAATATCTTTTAGATTAATTGGAGTAGTTTGATATTTTAATTTGGTCGTTTAAATAATTAAATTAAATTCTAATAGACAATATAATTGTATATTAATTATAATTTTTTAAGAAAAAATTAAATTTTTATTTTTGATTTTATTTCAATAAATAATACAATAGAACATGAATTTTGATCGTAAACTTAAAAATATTTGATATTTGATATTTAATTGAAGTATTTTTGGTTTAAGTATAATATTTTAAACTTAAAGGATTTNTAAAATATTTATATTTTATATTTGATTGAAGTATTTTTGGTTTAAGTATAATATTTTAAACTTAAAGGATCTAAGTATTATATATTCATAAATTTTAAGGGATCTAACTATAATTTATTAATTTATATATTTATAACAGGGATCTAAGTGTGATGTGCGAGAACTTATAAGTAATATTTTAAATACCATCAAATCTAAATGATTAAGTGATAAATTTTATAATCTCCGAATATAATTCTCCCAATAAAAAAAGGAAAGAGAAAAGGTACATGAACGACGAGACTGAGCCTTTCATTTGGGGAAGGCTTCTTTTCAAGACACGTCACTAGTACTAGCACATTCATTATCCTTAAAAATCACAGCTTCTTCAATTGTATCCTCTTTTTTCTCGGACAAATGTTGTAGCCTCGCAGGGGGCGGTTTAGTAACTGTATTTGTCTTATATTTTATATATTTTTTTTAAAAGTTTTTAAAAATAAAAATAAAAATATGTTTAGATATTATTTTTATTTTTATTTTATATTAGTTGTTTGAAAACAAAGATAAAAAAATGAGAATAAAAAAAATATTTTAAGAAACGTCTCAAAACAGAAACACGTAATGATGTATTTAATGAAGTCTTCACTTCAATCTCTGTTAGCAACAAATACTATTATTTTTTGTTGGAGTACATATATTGAGCCTTTTGCCCTTTTTCATTCGGGCTCATTCTCTCAACCCAGACAGACCTCTCTGATCTGGATTTTCTATGGCGCGAACCCAAGTAAATAAAAAGAAGACTACTCCCAGAGTTGTGTGGTCTTACGTTGTTTTCTCTCAACCTTCGACGAAGAAGAAGGCTCCTTGTTTCTCATCGACTGCTCGTGTCTCAGATCTCATCCATCGAGCTCTCCCTCACTGTGGAGATCTATATATATATCTATACATTACAGACCCCTATTGTATTTTTTTTCATAGACCTTTACTTTTTTCTACACAATATACATAAATCTGTATCGTTTTTATGTCATTATTTTCGGGTTATGTGTGTGTGTGTGAGTGTGTGTGTTGGTTTTTGATGATCAAGAGTAAAGGTGCTAGGTTGTGTGGTAGAGGCTTGTCTTAAGCCTTTCTGTAGTGGATTAGTTGTTGTGACGTTTTATCCAAGCAGACGGTGCAGATGAGGGCTTTTGATTGTTCGAGATTTGATGCCAAGCATGAGAAGGTTCTTGGTTCACAAGATCAGAGTGGGCTCTCTGATTAGATTCAAATATTCTTTGTTTCTTTCTCATTCTTTGGAAGATGACAGTAGTTTTGTTCTTGATTTATTGATTGGGTAGGTTTGTCTACCTTTCTCTCTTTTGTAATAATTTTTTATCAATGATAGAAAGTGTTGATTTATTTGAAAAAAAAAAATTGGAAGTGGAATTGAATTGCCATTTGAGATTGAATTGGGAGTGGAATTGAATTATCATTTGGGGACTTAATATAACTTGAAGTGGTTATCAAATTTGTTTTTTATTTTTATTCTCATAATTTGATAAATACAAATAACTCTCAAACATGTTTTTTGTTTCAGTGTTTACTACAAAACAGAGACAAAAATTTTCTCTGTTTTTTATTTTTTGGAAGAAGTAAAAACAAAAATGTTACCGTAATTTTCGGGATTTAATATAAGAATTTAATTTAATGTAATTATTAAATTGTGAGATTTAATGTTAAATATAATTTATTTTTAATTTGACAGTTATAGTTAATTAAGTTCTTGAATTAGATTTTTAAATTATGTTTGAATAATATTTTTCTTTCTTATAAATCTAGTAGCACGATCATGAAAACTCTGCACCATAGTTTCTAGTGGATACTTTTACGTAGACCGTTGGGTCACAATCTAATGGCTGTCAAACAAAAATGCTCAAAATCTATAGTCAAAACCTACTTAATTTAGTTCTTCACTAAATAGGAAATATTTATGACTTGTTAGTTGTGATCTAGTCTTATAAGAAAAGTCTTAAAGGTTAATAAATAAAAAATTTCTTGATTCCTCTTAAATACTAACAAATCGATCCAATGATTAGATGATGTTTATCATTACCTATCTATTAAAAATTCTAACCTAATGACCGAATGGTTCCCAAAGCTTCATGTGAAAGAATTACTGCTAGTATGAACCACTGTTGCACTGCTACAATACCTTCTATATTTGTCGCTATGTCAATTTTTCACACTTGCATAAAAAACTTGTTGAATTGATACAATATAACTACACATCAAATTACCTCCAAAAAAAAAAAATCTGCAATTGATTACCCACTTTAAAAAGACATGGACAAATAATATCCATATAGTGGAATTTGACGAACATATTACATTTTTGTCCCCAATAAAAAAAAGACTTGAGCATTAAATTAAAATTCCAAAAATGACATTGGCTTATCTATAATATAAAACAGGATGGCTTCAACAAACAAATTCAACGATCTTAAATTCATTCATCCAACGGCCACCAACATATCTCGAAACCATTTATTTAAACGATCCAGATTTCATTTAATTTGATCCAATGACACATAATTCGCCACAACAAAAAAATATCCCGACCAAAACTTAAATCACGTCTTCCAACTCTGTCAGCTACCCACCAGCCTTTCTCTCTCTCTTTCTCTCCACACTCAGCTGCCCACCAACCACTCTCTCTCTTTCTCTCCATACTCCCTACGACTTCTCTCTCGCTGTCATGGCTCAACTACCACCGGTGAACCCATTAGCGAAGACGAAACACCCAGGTTAACTCCTTTCTCTGTCTCCAATCGCATTCTCTCTCTGTCTCACCTCTTTTTCTTCATCTCATGCACACAACACACACAAATCTCACCTCTATTTCTTCATCTCTCTCACCAATCAAGCACACACACACACACACACAAACCCACAACACACGCACACAAATCACACACTCACACAACACACAGAGCAACACACAAACACGCACACAGATTACACACTCACACAACACACCCAATAACACACAAACACATGCACACACACACAAAAATAGAGCAAACACACACACCCTACAACAGCACACACACACACAAACACACAATCAACCAATTGGATGTTTAATTTGGAACACACAATAATTGGGTGTTAATTTGGGTTTTTGAGTCTTAGGGTTTTCAAATTGGGTGTTAAATAGGGTTTGTGAAATTTTTAAATGGTTATTTTTTTTAAGAAATATATCCCCCTTTTTGGATTTTTTTTATATGAAATTTCAAATTGGATTTTTTATTTATCAAAATGGTTTCCCCCTTAAGGTTCTACTCTCTTTCTTTGGTTTTCCCTTCTTAGGTCCCAATGGCATTATACATTTGTAAAATTGGATGATAAATCAACAGTTTGATTATGTTATGGTTTTTCACTCCAAAGTCATTGTGTAATGGTGTTTCTTTTTAATGGGATTTTTTTTCTCTAAATTGGATATGTTGATTTCTGCATTGTTTGTGGCACTGTGAACAAAGTCGACACATATGGATATGGCCGAGCTAAAGCATAAGTAAGACCAAAGTCGGCATATATGTTACTTTTACTCACTATAATGTAGACTATATATGCT